GAGAGAAGAAAAAGAAAAAACCACAATACAATACAGAAAACCAGTTTGTTCTCATTTCAACCTTTCCGATCCTTTTGACGTTACGCTACACCCCAGCCTTGTCAGTAATGCAGAATTCTGCAAAGGAAAGAATCAAAAGATGTGCAAACAAAGGAACCCAGGGCCATGCTCCTACGCGCCGACACACGCAGCTGCACCGGGAAACAGAAGGAGGGATTCAAAGCAGCGCTCCGGAGTCTACCCAGCAGCTTCGGGTAGGGAAAGCAGGGCCTATGGTTGGTATCAGACACTTGCATAGTTAGTAAGTGCATGCATCCGGGTACAGCGAGAGAACTGCCATGCAGAACTGCCTTTGTTACTGAGGGGGAAAGAAAAAAAAATAAAAAAAGATAAAAATAATGGTTGAATCATGCTCAAGTTTCAGCTTCGGAAAGCAAACAACCTCGCAGCTAAGACAGATGAGGGCACTTACAGTGGAATAAGTGTACTGTAATTAAGCTGCTAATTTTCTATCCTAAGCATCTTTTTTTATTATTATTATTATATTTTTATTTAGCCATATCTGATAAGTTCGAAATGGTTAACAATTTATACACCCAAAGTGAGACACTTATAAGTTACAGAGAACTGCAGGCACCAAATTGTCTATCAAATGTGATTAATACAAATAAAAGGTGCCTCTTTAATACACGTCATTGAAAATGTGCTTATAATTTGTATACTACTAAACACTATCCAAAAGACGCAGCCCAAAAAGGGTAAAAATAATTTCTTTAGGTGACTCCAGCAGGAATCTAGCACTGGAATGAAGGCGCTGCTTTCCTGCACCCAGAGGGCTGACCCCAGGGACAGGAGCAAGTGTCAGACTAGAGATGCGATGTGAAATACGAGTTACACATGGCCAACGCAGGTGAGTTCAACCCAGAGTTGACTGGAAACATCACACGACCCTTCAGAAGGCTTGGAGCCTGCTTTCCCTCAGAGCTCACATGGCTGTGTGAGGACTGGGATAGCGCTGGACCTCATCCTTTCACCACATTTCTCACCAGCGTGAGGCTGCCCTGTAAACCTTCACTTCCAGATCATCAGCCCTGGGGTCCCGAACTCCACCACCCCAAAGCCAGGGCAGCTCACCCCGTAGGCAGCCACACCACGGGCCGTTCCACAGGTGCCATGGCTCCGCGTGACTGGCAGAGTGGACCCAGACAGCAGCCATCCTTGTTCCACCCCAGGCCCTGCATACCACCACCCAGGGGCAAGTGGAGGTCCCTTGGCCAGCGATGACCTTCAGAGATGGCAGAACCCACCTCCTCCATAGGCACAAATGCTTCTGAAGCCAAACCTGAATTTTAAAAAAAGAGCTGACCATGTAAAAATGGCTGCTTTAAAACAGCCTCACACCTCCACTGCTTGAAGGATCAATACACAAAGCCAAGGTGGTGTTGGCATCTAGGACTTGGAAGATCCCTCTCTGCAGTGTTCCGTAGTACTGTGCCACATCCCTACATCTGGACAAGGCAATGGACACATGGACAGGAATCCCTATGCACAAAAGTGCTAAGAAACAAGCCTGCTTTAAAGGAAGGAGAGAAGACTGATGTTGCTTTTTCCCCAAATAACTTTAAGTTAACCTATGCAATAACCTACGCTCAGTTTTAGAAAGATTTGCTCTACATCACTGATGAAGTCATGACTTTAACAGCAATCAGTTTGACACTCATGATGAACATCGTTGTTTCCTGGACCCACACCCTTCAACCCTCTCCTGTGCAAGGAAGTTCATATTCTACTGGAAATCTGCGATACCAAAAAGCAGAGATGCAGAGTGGCAGCAAACGGCTGCTTTCCAAACTGCTTTGCTACAGAATCCACACAGCCACAAGAACAGGGACTGCACCTCCTGCATGGGGCATGCTGCTTTACACATTTTGCCAATGTGTGCTTTGCATTCAACAAGAACTACAGTACAACCTCGTAAGCCAAAACATTTTGCTTGAGAACCCCTAAGTAAAGCCCTCCTGAACCAGAAAACACGCTGCTTGCTGGCAGCCCACCAGAGAAGAGCATCCTCTCATCTGCTCTCAGACGAGGACACTACCAGTGCAGTCTCATCTACCCACTCTGTGTCCATTTACAAGCAAGGAGCCTGCACCAGAGCTGCTGTTTTCAGAGGGACAGGTAGGAAATGCAGTTTGGCAGCACACACAGTAGACAGCGCCAGAGCAGGCAGCAATTTCTATCAGGAATTACGGAGAACACACAGAAAAAGGGCTAGATTGCATATCATGGGATGGCAAAGGGTTGACTGCTTTTAACATCAGCTACTGGAACGCTTTGCATCAGGACCTCCCATTCCCATTTTGTCCAACTAGGAACTCTAATGACCATTCTCATGCCCCAAATACAAACATACTGAATTGGTGTTCAGCTAAAAATGCCAATTTGGACATGGCTTCAAAATTTCCTCCAGCCCAGGCATGCAATACAAGAGCAAAACCACCTCTGAAACTGTACACTGGCTTCCAGTTTAAACCTATCCAGTGAACAATGGCATGAAAATAAAATGTCATTTGATAAAAATAATCTTTCACAAATGTCCCATGGTAAAACGCAGAGAAAACTAGGTTCTGTCTATTAAAAGATACCAAGCCAAGTTAGCACTAGCTCCCAGAATTACATTCTTGCTAGAAGAGCTGTTACAAGAGAAGAGCCACCACAGTGCAAGACCTTAATAGAGATAAAACCTTAAACAAATACTTCAACATCAACATTTCAGGGAGTAATTTAAGTACTACAATGTGAAGGAAATCTTATCTGCTCAGCTGGATGTAACAAAAAATAATCCAAGAATAATCCGAGTCATACATTTAAGAAGCAAGTAATGCAATCTTTGCTTCTTGCTGCTGCAATAAATGAGACTGAACAATACCCAGGAGAAGAAATGCATCAAAAAAATGGTTATGTTCAGGTTTAAAAACATATTGCAGGGCACAGAGGCCAGCATATTGTTAAAACACACAGGCTACTGACATTGCTTCTGGGTTGCACGAAGGTATCTGACTGCAGGTTGTCACTGGGACAGAGCAAGGGTTGTACTGCAGGTGGGTTCACCATCACACACTGACCAGAGCCCCGTGGCACCCCCAGCTCAGCTCCACACACACACTGGCTTTGCTCCAATGTGTCAGCTACCCCCAAAATTCATCTCCCCAAAGCTCGCTGCAGATGCATGGTAAGCCAAGTAGAAAAAGTGATCACGGAGCAGCAACATGCCCTGTAGACATGGGGGCAAGGCTTCTTGCAGGGTCATCAGCACATCAGCTCCAGAGAGGGGGTGGAACAGACCAGCTCAGAGTCACTACTTGATTGAGGGCTATTTGTTACGGTGACAAAAAAGATGTGCAGGTATGTCTGTCCACAAGCTAAGCCTGGAGAAGAAGCTTTACCACCCACGACTGTATGACAGGCAAAGACCTCATTCAGAAGATGAGCGTGCCCAGCACGCTGCCCAGCTGCTGCGTGTCGTGACCTACACAACAGACTGCTGCTGTACGTAAAGGATATGCAGCACATTAATAAAAACTCATGAAACTTAAAAAAAAAAAAAATTACACCACATATAAAAGGACTTGAGGAATCCACCTTGAAGAGTTTTAAGAGGAATCTTAAAGAACTTGAGCAATCTCCCCTGTAAGAAAGGCATGTAAACAAAGACATCACTAGATGTAGTGTTTTAACCCTGATAGAGACCGTCATCCAAACAAGAACAGGGAGCGTTTCGCTAAGAGACACATGGTAGGCAGGCCCGCCGGGAGGGTGAGAAGCATGGCATGCCCCAGGGAGGAACGTAGCAGCACTCAGGAGAACGTGAAAACTGCTCCACGGCATTTTGGTACAGCCCCTCCAACCCACACGAAGAGGCTTGTTCAAAGCATGCTCAGAGAAGGCAGAGAAGACAAGACGACACTTGGCTTATCTAAACATTACTCCTATAAATAACGGAGGCTTATAGTCACACCACTACGATTAAGCATCTGAGCACATTAGGAAACACTTCTTCTCAGGAGTTTGAACAGGGGTCCTAACAGCATCACTGCTGTTCAGGTGCATGAAGACAGCTCTCCTACGGCACTGCGACCATCTCCCACCCAGCACTTCCACAGGTACGAGCTGGCAAGCGGCTGCTGCTTAGTGATTTCTTCTGTTGCTTAGTATAGTGTTTCAGAAGAGAGAAAGCAATTAAAGAGGACAGGGTAGAGGTTGCCTTAGGTATGGACAGAGTAAAACTCTTTCATAGATACAGCAACAACAACAACAAAAAAAATGCAGGTTACATTTCATGAAAATAAAAAACCACCCACCTTTCTGCTGTTGGAATGCGAAAATGAAATCTATTACACACACACACACGTACGCATGGACACACAGGTACCTTTCTGTCCATCCACTAATGCTAGTCCCTCCTATACTGGCTGAGTATATACCTGAGAAACAACATTAGTGTTGAAATATTGCCCTTTAGAAAGCTTGAAAAATGGAGGGGAGCAGGGAGAGAGGGTTGAGAGAGAGCATAAAGAAGCGGCAGTCTCTCCAGTTTCCTTCGCACCCTCCACAGCTCAGAACAAGGCCATACACCAACGTGGACACAGCCTGCTCAGAACGAGACCAAAGGAATATCAGTTCACAGCTCTACAAAGCACACCAGTGTCAGTACAACCGAGTTTCAGATTTCACACCTTGAATCTGAAGAAAAGTTGTTGCATTTTCTAGAAAGAGACTCCTGTACAAGTGCTATGGGACAGCTGCATTCATGTTCAACAACGACTCCAGCTAGACTACTTGCATCAGTGCTGGCTGCCTGTGGCTATTTGGTTTGATGGCAGAATCAAAAAGGCGCTTTAACAACTTGCAGTTAACTTCTCCTCAAAACATACATTAGGCACATGAACAAAAAAACAAGAGCTCAGAATAAATTAGCTTCTCAGCAGAAGAAAAGACACCTGGATTGCAGCATTTCACTGAGGTTCCAGAGAAGGCCGTACAGACACCTGCATGCTGGAAGGTAATTTTTTCAGTGGCTTGTCAGCAGACTGCTTGCCACTGGAAGGAGGAGACTGGACTCCGGGATCTAGCTGGGAAGACTTGGACTTGCGACTGGATAGCAGAGAATGTTTGTTGGGTGTGGCATCTTTTGGGGCAAGTTTTTCTTTTGCAGTGATGTTGGCATTGGTTTGAGAGGCTGGTGGGACAACACCTTTCTCCGATTTGTCTTCCAGCACGTTTTTACTGCCTGACTTGGAACTGCCACTCCCCGTCTTTTTAGAGAGCATCGTTGTCTTTCCCAGGTCTGCTGACCTCCGGGTCTCCTTCTGCCTTAAGGCTGATTTAAAGAAGGACAATCCTTTCTCTTCTGACTTGCTGTCCCTCTTCAAACCAGAACGCACACTAACATTTGGAGACCGCAGGTTGGCCATAGAGGAGCTCCGCACGTGTTTGCTGTCTACTGCCCTGCTGTCACTCCTGGAGTGGCTTATCCGTGGGGAGCTCGTTCTTGAACTGCTGGTAACACTCGTTTTATCCGACCCCAGACTTATCTTAGAGCCCTCTCTGCTGAGGCTTCGGTCTGAAGTCCGGCTCTTCCCAGCAGAAGAGCCCTTAGTCAATGAGCCTGATGGGGTTTTCTTGGCAGCTGCGGAGGATGGAGAAGAACCTGACTTTTGCTTCTGTTGAGCCGATGGGACAGCCACCTCAAGGGGCTTCGTGCTATGGTCCTTCCTAGCCTGAGTGGGAGCAGGAGACCCATGTCGCCCACTGGCCCTAGAGGAGTCCGTCTTACTTCTAGACCGGGAAACTTTCTGGGAACTCCTTAGTGGAGGAGGAGAAGAGCGAGAGACTTTGGTCTCTTGGTTAGATAAGACTGTCCTTCCCTTCCTCAAACTTTTGTCTGGCTCAGAAACCCCCTTGGAGCTGTGAACCTTCTTAGGGGTGCCATCTGCCTTCTCTGCAGCCAGCCCTGTCCCACTGGGGGCTTTCACCTCCTTGACTGGAGAACTATCCACAGAATCACTCTGATCAACAAAGGCGATCTGATTGTTGTTATCAAAAGGGTCCAAAGCAGGGTGATTCCTGTCTGGCTGCACAGAGCTTTTAACATACCCATCTGAAAGATCTGAGCTAGATGTCCTTACAACAGACTCTTCCCTGAATGCCCCTTCCATGACAGCCAAAGGGGCTCTGCGAGCCGTCCTGTGCTCTCGCCGACTGCCATCACAGGGCTCCAAGTAGCTGCTAGAGAGATTCCTCAGGCTGCCGAAGCAAGAGGTGGAGACTTTATCATCAGCAGCCTCCCCAATCTTCTCCAGGGTGGAAGCAGAGGTATGTACAGGGGAATCTCCAGAGAAGCGGGATGGAGAGTTGGAGCGCAACTGCAGTTTTGCAGAGAGTGACCACGAGGGCCTGACACCATTTTCACTCACTGCCAGTGGGCTGGTGACAGAAGATCTAGATGACAAGCTCTGACGCTGGACACTCCTTACAAAGGGTCGAGTTGAGAATCCTCCTGCAGAGAAAGCAAGTGACATCCTCAGTATGAAAGCCAAGCCTGCAATCAGTTTATCCCACCCATCCACAGATGCCGTTTCCCTAAGAGAGTGAGACAGCCCACCCACACCACATCCTATGCCCATCTCTCCATGCCTGCTGCAGGCACACCTTCTTGCATAAAAGCTGAATAAGAAATTCAACAACTGTTAGTTGCTAGTGGTCACCCAGAAGTAAGTCTCTGAAGCTTCAAACTGGAAAATGCAGGTTTTCCTCTCATCCCCGAGCAGCAGGAGACCAAACACAGGTTTCTGCACCTTGGAAGTCTTTGAAACTAGAAATGAGTTCACCAACTGCAACTGTGCTCCCAGAAATACCTTTTCCTGTATCAAAGAATATTTTCCCATACCTTCCTGTAAAAGGCAAAGTAGGATTCCTACCTCTTTTGTGTAGTGTATTTGTATTTATAAACAAAGTACAACAATAAGCATTTTAGAAACGTGACTGCCATGGCTAGATCTGACAGATCACAACCCTGCTGCAGGGACATCACCCACTTCAAAATGCTCAGACTGACCCCTGAAGCTCCATAATTTCAGAAGTTACAAGGCAGTAGGTGGAGGACCCAGACAAAGCCAGGAACTGAACTGTTATTTGCACACAGAAGTGAATTTGTGTATCTTCACACCTCCCTGGGAGCAGTCTACAGCATGACAGCAGACAATTAGTGCCTATGCTAAGCTGTAGCGATTCGTCAGCCTCCCTGCAAATGTGCTGTTGTGAAACCCAGAAAAAACACAAGCACAAAAAGTTCTTGACTGAAAGGTTTCATTGATGGCATTTTCTTTCTTTGAAAGGTTCCTGTCCTGCTCTTCTCCATCCTTTCACATCAGAGAAAAGCTCACTTGTGCCAAAACCTATCTGCTCCTACCGACACAGTGTCTGCCTCCCCCAGCTGCTACAGTAACTACATATTTTGCAGCTATTTTAGCAGGGATCTTGTAACAGAAAGACCAGTGGCCCTGTATTGCCCCTCCACAGCAGTGTTGATACACACCATCATCTTCACTCCTTTCCCCAGTCAGCTCTACCGATTCTGAGAGCGAAGCCAGAGACGTGCGCCGCGATGACGCTGCCGAAGCAATGCTGGGCTGCTTGCTACCAGGAAGACGGCTGACCCAGTGCTCACAGAGAGAGGAGCTTGTGGAGCCTGCAAGGAATCAGGCACAGATATCAGGCCAGTAGCATGTAGCTGCAGAACATGTGAAACCTTAGAAAGCCACCGAGAATCAGGTACGAACTGGCTTTGACAGACACCTGGAGTCTGGAGCTGTCCCAAGATACTGGCTGGGACAGGAAGTTGTTACTCTTATGAATTAGTTATGGTTATAATAGTTATGGTCATAATAGTTATGGTCATAAGTGACAGAATTGCACTTGTCCCAGCATGCTGTGAATCAAAAGAATCAGCGCAGCACACAGGCAGTGGGCAGTCCTTGACCTGCCACAAAAACACAGTGTAAATCCTTTCCTTTCCAAAGGCAAGTTACCAAGCCTGCATCTGCTCCCAGCTCACCCCAGGTTCAACCACCACCTTCAGCTGCTGGCTGTTTACCCGAGACCAACGGCTCTGCTGCAGGGAACGAGCCAGTCACATTTTTATGCCATGGTTTTGACAAGGGCAGGTCTGAGCAGAATTACCCAAGGAGATGGAAGGGGGTTCCCCCATCTCTACAGCCTCTTTGCCACAACCAACCTTACCAGAAGAGGTGGGAGTTCCCCATGGCCTCTGATGCAGAGCAGCAGACTGAGACAAGCCTCGCTGAGTTCTGGGACAGAGAGCTGGGGCTTAAGCAGAGCTGGGCAGAAAGTTCTTCAGAAGGACAAACTACCCATGAAAGAGAAACTACAACCACTCCTTGACAATGCCAGAGGGGCTTACCTGCCACAGAGCTGTTAGCAGACCATGATGGGATTGCTGTGCGTCTCTGATAGAAAAGAATATAAGCTGTCTGCTTGCAGACTTCGGTTTCAGAAAGTTGCTGAACTTCACTGTCATCAAAGCAGTACCACTGGCCATCAACCGAGTTTTTGCAATATGCTGAGAGAAAATACATTACTATTAGACTTTCCTCACTCCTATTACTCTCAAGGTTTGCTGTATGATAACTGAAACTTATGTGCTATGATGGACTCAGAGGAGAACGAAAGGAATAGATTTACTCGTGCAACACATCCTCGTCCAGTCTGACTAGTGAGATGGGGCCTGAGGCCACCAGAATACAATAAACAGCTCACATTCCAAGATTTTCTTTGTCCAACTTTACTGCTCAGAACAGAGCACCACTTGGGGTGGCTCCATTCATCTCACGTTCCGTTACTTTTGGCAGTCTGCCTCCATCAGTGAATCTCCTTCTGACTGAGCCCACCCAGGACAACAAAGCCCAGAGACATACATCAGAGTTAAAAACCAGACATATGAAGTCATACAGATCCTAAGAACCATCAAGCAACTTTGTCTATCCCTGGCTGCTCTGGAAAAAGCAAAGAGGAGTTCATAAACAGGCTGTGCACATGGGGAATGTGCAAATACTCCGTATGTACAACAGCCTCTTTCAACTACAGAAGTTCTGTGTTGAGTGGCCAGAAGCATTTTTGAAACATGGAAGTCAGTTACATTACTCTGAAGAATAATGTAAAAAAAAAAAAAAAAAAAAAAAAAAAAAAAAAAAAAGGCAGAGAAAGAAATCTACATTTGGGGTTAACAGACATTGCTGCATTCCTCAAAGTCATAAAAGTTACCCCTCTGGTATTCCATAGCCAACCCCTGTTAGGTAGGTCCTTTTGTCAAGAAAGATCAGGAATTTATGGACACTTGATAGAAAAATACAACTGGGTGTTTAATTTCTGAAAGGATCCAACATACATACGTAACATTACAGGATACTTGCCTGTATAGTGTCCCCCTTGCATGGTGCCATGATGATTGCAGACAGCATACAGGTCATAGATATAGTCCTCAGGATCCCTTCCAAGACCGTAAGGTCTCCTCCAGGGTGACCAGTGAGACGGCAGACTCCAACTGCTCTGACTGCGTTTAACTACATGAGGAGTCATGTCCAAGCCACTCAGGGGGAATTTAACCATGTTTTGAAGTTTCATCCTTCGGTCTCCTTCCTGTGTATACAGAGAACAGTATGAGCTACAGTGGCAGTGAGGTCACTGTGCTTGGGGAAAACAAAAAACCAGGAGAGGAATGCATATGGCAGAACAGCAGCCTCTGAAGAGGTGGCCTAGTTAGGTCACTCCCTGGCTGAGGAGTCCTCCTCCAGCATCCTCACAACAGACATCCTTACCTGTCTAAACCTTTTGAGATGTATAATGAGAACATCAGGTAAGGTCCAGAGGCTCAGTGTGATGCTACCCTGCTGCAGCTGCTTGCAGTGTGGGCATCGCCATGCATCATCTGGGGCAAGCTACAAGGAAGAGTCATGAGTGGGTATTAGTTTCCAAATTCCAAGGCATTACACCACCATTCCCCTGCTGCCCCACGTCTAGGGCAGACACTGACCCCTGCACCCCAACTACCTCCAGCATTTACAGCAGATTAGAGACCTCTGGCAAAGAAATGCAGATTGCTTACATGTTCCAGGCAAGGCCAGATCAGACCCATCTCCAGCCTGCCCTGTGACACACCGTCTCTCCTGCTACTTCAACCTCCTCACACCACAAGCTGAGCTAGAGGAGGAGAGCTGCCACGGCTCTGGAGAACTAGCTCGGCAGCCACTGTGCTGCTATTTGGGGTTCCCATTCAGTGAGGGCTGCCTTGAGCCCACCCCAGCCCTAGTCAGGCTTGGAAACACTCAACTGCTCCAAGACAGAGCAGTAAATTCCCCATGAAGAAGCCAGGTTGTTCTAACCCTTTATAACACACGACAGAAAAAGATATTGCTATTTCACAGGAAGGAAACTGCAGAACAGGAGTAAGTTCTTGTATCAACATTTGGGGGGCAAAAAACCCAAAGCAGTACCTCCCACAGCTCTCTCCTCACTGCAGGGAAACTCTCCTAGCAGGACTGGGAACTAGTGTTGTGTTACAAATTTATTCTCCTGTCTCAACAGATCAGTGTTTGCAGAAAACAGCTACTCTGCTGAGTGCGGGAGTTCAGGCAGCACGTGGAGCAGCCAGATCTTCCGAGTCCTGGCTGCTGTACAGTCTTGTCCCTACCTGTTCCTCTTTGGTGTACAGTTGGAAACACTGAGATAAAGTGCAGGTCTGAGGTTGATGATGAAGCTCTCTCTGCTGGCGGACGCTTTCGGAGTCTGGAATATACTCCTCTTCTGTATTCACAAACAAGCTGTATCAGGGAGACAACACATTTACCAACACATCCACCCGCTCCCCATGCTGCTGAGGAGCCACTCTGAAGGTACATTCAGCAGCTCTTCCCTGGATTTGTCCCATTACAGGTGAGCGACAGCTGACTGGCAAGAGATCCTGCCAGGGCAACACGGGGGTAAACAGCTTCAGTGGGCACCCTCTCCATTTGGGTGGATCTCAAATGGAGTGGGTTTATCTCAAGAGAGAAAAAGCTACTCACTGCCCACAAACTCTCTCACACAAATATGATTTGTGGGGGAAGGAGTCACAGGGGATATGCCTGCTCCATAATGCAAAATCCCAGCTACAGAGAAAAGGACTCCAACTCAGAGCAAGTCCAGGGCACCCAGCCCCAGTCTGTCCCTGCCAACAAGGACCAGGGGACGGGGTAGAGATTTTGAGGGGTCTCATGTTTGCTGAAGGGTGCACAATTCCCACAAGCAAGTCAAAAGCATCTCTCTCAAGGTTAACACACTTTAAGGCTTTCCACTTCATACTTACTAATCTTTAGTTTCTTTGTCCCATTCTACCACTAATTTCACATGAGCAGTTCCCCCCTGTCCACATGACTTCAATGCCCTGGAGAGAGGAGCAGACAAAAGTTAGACCATCTTTCAATCTGAAGCCTACATTATCTTTTACATGCATTTAACTTCTTTCCACTAGCCCTTCATCCTTCCTCCACTCCCACACAGCTCAAGTTTGCAAAGGAGTAAAAGGAATCCATACAGCAGAGAATATGGCAAAGCTGGCAAACTGCATTTACTTAAATACATTGATTCCCTTTAGACACCAAGACTGTCCCTTTCTGCACGTCTACACACTGAGTTCCCAGCTGAGAAACCTCTCAGCACTCCCGGGAATGAGGATCAACTCACCTTTCCACTGTTGGATGGCAGAGGGGTCGCTCCTCCTGAGGTAGCAAGTACGTTATGCCCACAACACTGACCACTCGCAAGCTGAATGGGCAGACCTACAACAAAGAGAGGAGAAGGCATCTCAATGGCTCAAACCACACTTACCTACGTGCAAACCTGATCTCAGCACTGGCTGATACGTACTTTATCCTAGAATGTGTTTTACACGAGAAAGCAAATGCACAAGGTCTCAAATATGCCTACACCAAGCAGCTAACAGAGGGGTGAGGTACAGCAGCTCAAGCTTTGTACCCAACAACTCCTCTACAGTGACCAGAGAAAACAGCCCTGTGCTCCTCAGAAATATGCAGTTGCTAAGCAAATGTTTCAGGCTTTCTTATAGGCCAACACCACCAACCAGTGGATTTCCAGTGCAGACAGCAGCACTAACCTGTCAAGTACATCTTGGGGGTAAGGAAGGAAGTGAAGCATGCAATTTCTTCACCTGATAAGTCTAATCTTACCTGTACCTTTCAGCAAATAGACAAAAGAGGTGAAATACCAGACTTGGACATTATTGCACAAAGAAATATTGGGAAACCATGAGTTCAGCACATGCAGCACATTTATCACTACAAGTAACTCGCTTCCCCTTTAGTTCCCATCACACAGATCTGGAAGTCCCACAACAGATGAGCCATTTGCCTCACCTGCATGCAGGCTGCAGGCCGCAGGAAATACTGCATCTTCTCCAAAATTTCCTTCTGCAGAATATCCCAAGCAATTGTTTTTTCCAAATGTAACACAAAGGGCAAGCCAAACCTACAGGAAGAAGTAGCATTTGAGGCAGCAATTAAAAGATTATTCCGTTCAGCAATCAGATTCCCAAATTCTGACAGTGTCACTCTTCTGACTCGGCAACTGCGGAGCTTGGAATGCTTTGGGTGAAACTCCCCAGAAACAAGGCATTTAAAAACTTGTCTCCAGAGGAGAGGTGCTTAACTTTGAGGAATCACTCAAAGTAATGGCTGCCCATGCAGAGGGCCCTTTTTAATGGACTGCAGCCCTGCTCTGAGCTCAAGCTGCTTGCTTCAAGCTGCAGAGCTTTGCAACTGTCACCTGGCTGTGACTTTTGTGAAACAAAGCAACTGAGATAGTTCTCAGAGTCTGTGGTTGGTACAAATGCCTTTGCCATGGTCGTTTCTCACTTCCCCCCCGTCCCCCCGTTTGTGCTCTAATTAAAAATTCCCACATATGACAGGATCTGGTCAGATGTGCTTGCTGCCAGGTAGCTCTATAGAGAGGTGGTACATCCTTCCAACTGGTCTGCATTCACCGCTTCCCAGTAACACTGCACTATTTGGAGTTCACCCAATTTAGGAATATTTTGCTGCATTCATTAATGTTTTTTGATCAACATGTTCTTTAGCACCTAATGGAAGCTGTCACTCCTTCACCTTGTGCTTTCACTACACAGCAAGCAAAACTCAGGTCAATTAAGGAAGCAGCCAGAAGAATAACTAATTGTGAAGCTGTCAATCACCTTCTGCTCTGCTGTCCAGTGCACGCCCTGTTACACACCAGCAACACAATCTTGTCATTTGCTGCTGGTTTAGTAGAGGACTGTTCCAGTTTTCCAGATTTCACTGTTCCTTGAGAGTAAGATATTGTTCGGGAGTGCTCAGTGCCACATTTCAAGTTATTCAGGTTATTGTTCACATGTATGCCTGAAAAATTAGGAGAAAGGAAACATTTTGTTACGTCATTTGCCTTTAGTGCCTTGAAGAAACCCCCCTTCAGCTGCAGAGGAGCAGGTCAATACGGAATCAAGACCATTTTTATTACTTGCATGAAGGCTTCAAAGAGCAATTACTTTTCATAGTGACTATTTCCTTACAAAAAGAAATTATATGCAAGCGCTCATCTAACTGATTTTTCACAGTAATTTGTACAAGCACTCATAGCTTTGTCTGCCCGCAAGAAAAGCTAAAGTGACAGAAACCCTACTTGCTACTTCCAATAATAAAATTTGCCTTTGATTATGCTCTGTCTACCCAGGATGCAATTATTCCCTTTCACCGAGAGGGAGACGCAGAGAAGCTGAGGGTTTTGAGCTTTGAAAGAGAAAGCGTTTGTTCATTCCTGAGACTGTTTATTCATCACGGGCAATCTGATTTTAAATAACACAATTTCAGTGACTTCATCTGGTGCCTAGCAGGTCTTTAAATTAAGCCTGACAACAGATTTCACATTAAGCCAGCCTGGCCTCCAGAATCAGCCTCGGGAAGAGGAAGAAAGGAGCATACATTGCTTCTTGATAACCTCCCGGCTGACAACACCATTAAGTCTGCTGGAATGAGTCTGGACAAAGTCAGACTTGAAATCAATACACCAAAACGTAAACTACTTGTGGGATTTTTAATTCTCCAGTATATCCTTTTCCAAAACAAGCCTCCATCACCTAGTCACCTGAGGTAGGCATTAAGCTGAGTTATTGACTTACCTCTCTGACTAAGGATACCCTCGGGCCTAAATATCTCTGGGGTCTCAAAGGCAAATATACAGTCGCTTTCATGAATGGTGTCCAGGTCATCCGTATCGCAGAAGGAGCGATGAAACCCATCGTAGTACATCTCCGTCAGCACGATCTAGAGTCAGCATAAGCAAACCAGAACCCATTAAACCACCCCTGCCTGGTCCAGCTCATCCGCCCTGTTTCTTGACTTGGATTTTCCCGGTAAAGGATGGCATTCCTCAAAACATCCTGTCATTGGCCAGGAGTGAGAAATAGGGAAAAGGACTGCCTTAAAGGAGAAACTGTGGTAAAGGGAGCACATGGAGATGTTTTTGTGGGATCTGACATCTTTCCTGAGGTTTTCCTACAGAGGAATTCCCCACAGGTGCCTGATGGTTCCTTCACTGCCAGCACACACTAATCGCCGTGTGATCAGGCAGAAGATCCACACACCCCACTGATGGCTATCCCAACATCACTAGGTTTCAAAAAGCCAAAGCACAGGGAAAAGCATGATCCAGATTACCACTACCCCGCTTCCCCATTCAACCATGGGCAGCAAATTTCAATTCCTACATATCCAACACAGGATGAAAGCCTCCACGCTCCCACACGCTGAAGGCAGAGCACACGGGTAATGAGACCAGCCCGTTACCTGCTCCGTGGGTATCTTGGTCTCTGAGGAGACAGCCTCCCGCAGCCTGGCCACCGTTCCAGAGATGGGCACGGCCACCCCAATCCGCATGCAGTGCGAGCACTTCCCCTGGTACACCACGGTGACGTAGAGCGGCCTGCGGAGAGCACAGGAGGCATTGCTGGGGCTGAGCACTTCTTGGCACTACCTTGAGTAGAACCAGCCCAACCTGGGTGGATCCAGCTGCCCATAAGCTACAGGGACCCCCCAGCAGTCTGGATCCACCTCATACTGGATTTAGCTCAGATGCAGCCAGGCCAGTATGTTTGATTTCCAAAAACTCCTTTCTTACTACATGCACTGGGGTTAGTTGCTCCCCACAAGCAGAATGTCTTTTCCAAAAAAGTCCCCCAAAGTTAAAAATAAAATTCTCTATAACAAGGTAATCATAATTTTCCAACAAAGATCCTGTAATGCTTCTTAGGACAGCACGAGGCAGCATTTCAAAGCACTCGGAGAGCTGTGGTTGGGAACAGCTGCTCCAAGTTGCCTCAACACTCAATCCTGCCTCCAGCAGCAGCCACAAGTACTACCTCAAGAAGAGGAGACCGGGGCTGCTGGCCTACCAGGGACTCAGTGGTGGAGCAGGGACTTCTGAACCAAACGTGACAGTCATATTTAACACACCCTTTCACTACTTTGTTCCATTGCTTCTTGAACCCATACCAAGTTTTCTGCAAGCAAGACATCAGGTGAAGGAGTTGCTTATTTATACAACGGGTAGTTTTGCTGTGCATCTTTATTTTTGCTCTGAACTTTTTATCTGGATCTTATGCTGCCTGGAGCTTTTTTCTTTATTGGCAACAGCTGTCTTTCAAAAAAAGCAAAACATTTTGCAGAAATGCTTTTAACCTCACTTTTTGAAATGGGAGTGATCAGTGAGACTGTTCTAGAACTAGAAAAAAAGGTTAAAAAAAAAAAAAGTGTTTCATCCTTTTCCCCTTTTTAATTTGAAAATGCTATAAATTAAGTCAGAAGCAAAATATTTTGGTTACCTGAATCAAAGATATTTTTTTCTCCCCAAAATTAATTCTATAGGAAGTTAAGGGTGGGGGCGGAAGGCCATTCTGAAAGTAGTAAAAAGCTCAATTTTCCAATTTACCTGCAAAGCAAAAATTAAAGCCCCATATGGTCCTATCTATCTTTTTTAAAGACTTACTGTAGAGATTTTGCTGACACCTCTCTTCCTTCTGTAGCAAATTAAACATCACTATATGCATGGGAAACAGCCAACGTTAAGTTCAAGACAGTTACATACCGTGTATGAGGCAAAGGAATCGGCAGAGAGATGCAGAGAAAAGGGTCAAAGGTGTTACTCTGCTTCTGGCAATGAGGGCACGTCAGGGAGGACCTAGTACAAACATCAATAATATGACAGAGTTATACCTCATTTCATCAGGAATGGATAAGTCATCAAATCACAAATAAAAGTCTTCGCATACCATCCTGGCTGCCCCTTTCTAGTCTCTTTTTTCTCCGTACAGAGAGGCTCTGCACAGAGGCTGTATAGACACAGCTGCTATAAATGATAGCCTCCTGATTCCTAGATCCTTTTAAAGTAATTAGTCTCAAAGTTCACTACAGGGCATGCCAGGAAAAGGCTCCACTCCACTTACTGAATATGACTTTTAATAAACATCACTGCAAAATTAATAATTCACCAACAGTAGCTGCAACATGGAAGAGCTGAAAGAGTTTTCTCTTTGAGGAGGGGGGAAGTAATGGGAAAGAGATGGTGACAGTCAGCATTGCAGGTGTTCGGATCTCCCTTCCTCAGAAGGGGAGAGCTCCAGACAATATATCTCTCACATCCAGAATTAACCTGCACCTTACGCTGGCTTTGTGGTTTATACCAGGCTTAAGGTTTCTCCTTGGCAAATACTAGGGAGAAAGCCCAGCAATTAAAATTCTTACAGCAGCACAGATACAAGCCATCGAGGAACACTGGAAATTAGGCTGTTTTCTTGTATTAGCTCTGAAATTAGAAAGCTCACTTCCTAGGAACTATGGGAAAGCCCTGAAGGGACAGCGAAAGATTCAGCTTGGAATTCCCAAGTGCCAGATAACAGGAACTCTGCAAGAAGCCTGGGATCCATAACTCCCCATCAGCCCCCAGGCACCCCCAGATCTTGCCACAGGCTCTCGCTCTGAACAGTCAGGGTAAAAAGCACTGAGTTGTCCCGAGTCTTTGCTCCACTGAGCACTGACTTGCTACCAGGATGCACCAGGGCAGGTGAAGAGGTAGTACATATTGCAGATTTTCACAGAAACTACCACATTTGAAGTAGTGAAAGCCTCTCTTTCCTCTGGAGCAAGAGCTTAGATCAGATTTCATTCAGAAGTAATTTAGAAATAGCTGTTAACACAGAGACATCAGTCTCAACTGTACTGGGAGGTAGCATCAGGGTAGAATTATACTGGGGTCACCAATACATGCAATAATGCCTCAAAATTTACAAAATATACCTGTACTGGGCTTGGAAGAGTTCCTGCACAAAAGTACTACTGATTGGAAAGGCTGGTCCCTCGAGCAGCACATCATCCTCCAGCGGTGGCTAAAAGAGAAGAATAAACCCTAGAAGCACACCCAGGCACAGAGGTGCACCAGAGATGCCTCCAGTATTCCTTGTTGAATTTGTGCCCTCCTTGCCCAAAACCACCAGAAAAAGGTCACAAGATTTTGAAATCACAAGCGTGCTCTGCTCACAGGAGTGGTTATGCAGAAAGGCAGTAGCCAGGGCAGTCTAAGGAAAGGCAGGGATCTCCCACCAGATGATGTGCCTGGCAGTCCCTCCCCTGTAACACCTTCCAGCTCTGGCAGAGCAGTATGTGACCGTTCACAAGCCATTGTATTGGGGAACACTTGCCAGGGATTAGCAAAACAGCTAGTTACATTTACAAGGCCAGAAACAAATGGTATTTTAAGCCAAGGCTCTTCTTCCATACAAAGTATCGGAGTTGAGAAGCCAACAGGGAGATCTAATTTAAAAAGAAAGACTGCATGCAAAGTTACAGCTGCTCTCCCACGCCAGCAAAACCCCTTACCTTGAGCGGAGGCATGCCACTGAAATTCACCACGTTGTTCAGATCTTCGTGGACTCTGTCTAGAAGCCAAAGCAGGAACTCCTGCGCATCGTGCTGGGCATTCCCACGGTACTGCATAGCATTCTTGGACACGATGTTCTGCAGAGAGACAAGAGACACCGTCCAGAAAAAGCACAAGCATCAAGCTTTTCCCTCTACCGAGCCCTCACAATGAGACTGGCAGAGGTGACAGCACAAACAAAACAAGGGGCTGCTGGTAACTCTGGGGGGGTCACTGCCTTCCCACAGCACCTGGGGACAGGCCAGGAGATACCATGGCCTGTAGGACCCTACCCCCACCTTGATTTAGAGAATAAGCCTTAGAGAATAAATCTCTGCCCTTGTTGGGCAGAGAACCTGCCTCCTGCTCTCACAACAGACCAGAGGGGTTACAGCAGCAGCTACGGAGGAACTGCATCATCATTTAAACAGAACTGTTTATAGCAAACTTGGGACTCATTAGATAAGATGAACACAGAAACAATCAACCTACAATACTTTCACGTAAGCGAAGAGCAAGGCAAGCTCACTTCAATACACTGACAACAGGCAGTATTTCCCACACTGACACAGAGCAAAGGGTATTTTTAATCACACCTATCCATGTACCACAGGGTCTGAAACTGTTCAATTCCCCAAATCTAGGATATCTATTCTTTAAGAGAGATACTTCAAATATCTATTATTTATCTATAATATCTATTTTATTTATTTAAGATAAATCTATTTAACCTATTTATTTAAAATCTATTTATTACTTCAAAACAAGTATTTAAATTGAAGCAAAACAAGTCTCCTAATACCCACTCACACACTCTAGCTCATCGCTGCTTTGGTGAGGTAACAGATTTCCCAAAACCTAGATGCAGAACTATACGCACACAATTCCAGGAATCTGCCAAGATCACTACCTCAAAACCACAGATGCTTCTACAAACCCATCACCCCAATAATATGCAGAAAGGGCAAACTTACTTTGCATCAGACACCTTCTTTAGCACACAAGGAGTACAGTCACCATATAATTATCTCCACTAGGTATCAAGTACCCACGATGCACGATTTGCTCACCCTATGTACCATCCTCTACTGCCATTAACCAAAACAGAAAACTTGCTTAGGACAGATCACTGAGCAGGAGGAAAAGCACATCGTACAGAGCGATGAAGGACTGTCCCAGCCAGGGGTGCAGTCTTCCCTCACAAGCACAAGGAACCAAAGTGTCACAGAGCGACCAGCACCAGAGCAGTGTGGTACCCGACGGGTGCTGCTGGACCACTGAACTCCAGACAAGGCAGGACCCAGTCACAGTGCACAACTGGCACTATATATATATGCTACGAGCCTGGGGAACGCATCTAATCTACTCTTGAATTTCCAGAAAAAGCTGTCTCAGAAGGACATAAGAACATTCAAGGGATTTGCTCAAACCTGTTTTTCTTCCGGACACAAACAGGAAGGACTCGAAGCTCACCAGCAACCAAAATCTGCTCTTTGCAGATTTATCCTTGCTCTGCAGACACCTTTCGTAACGTTAAAGCTTGTGCTGAGCACCCCAGCCAGGCCACACACACCCCTTCCTCAGGACAATGTCTCCTTCTCCTCCTTGAAAAGCCAACGTGAGGCACGCCAGGGTTTACTACAGAAGGTTGTTCCTCACCAACAACCAACATCAGGAAACTCTTTCTCTGTTCCAGCTCTGTGATCTCACTTTTACCTCCACAACAAAACCCGAATGGCCAGCCAACACTCATCACTGTGCACCAGGAGAGATGGCACAGGCTCTGGAGGATAGGAACCTGGCAGCAATATCTGCATTCAGCAGAAACAGTCTCTGGAGTAACATGCTGTGGTGGCCTGACCCCAGCAGCTGAGCCAGGGTTCCTTCCTGAGCAGCAGACGCCAGCACTGCTGTAGGAAAGCCAACATGTTCTGCTTTTCCAACGAAGCACCAGGCTGCAGCCAGGAGGTCAGCCTGCTCCTCCCACCGCTCAACATACAGGCAGGACCTTCAATCTAACACATGGGTCAGCCACCCCCACGCTCCCACTCCACCAATTTTAACCACACATTCAATACCAGGCCTTTCTTTGCAAGAAACAGGCCCATAGCAAAGCCACGAGCACAGCAATTCTCCAACCTCCCCATGCCGCAAAGCTACCGGGAAAAACAATCTTGTTTGGGATGAGCCATGTTAGCAGTGCTGCACCTACGTCCTGCAGAGAGACAGAAAGTGCTTACACAGGATTCAGATTCTTTTGAGCAGGGTCCCCAAAAAGGGGCAGTGGCACCAGCAGAGAGTGGTACCTGCCGGGTGAGAGCCCCACGGGGAGGCTGCGGCAGACCGGCCGCCCCGAGCAGGGCCAGGCAGGATGCACACACACGGTATCAGAGCTCCTCCCTTTCTCTAATCAGACTTTACAACAGATTTGAGAAATGAGGTTGGGCTGCTTGCTTTATCCCTTTAGAAAATGGGGTCACCAGAAGCTGGGGGGGAGGGTGTGGTTTGAAAAAAGACAGAAAAGGACCGATCAACATATATTCTCTATCCTCTATAATCTGTCCACCTGCCTCAAGGCAGCAAAATAAGAGAAAACAGAAATAATCTGCTCTCATTACATATGTGCAAGCCCTTCTGACAAGAGCACTCACAAGGCAGCTCCTTACTGCTGGATACCAGCAGGTCCAGAGGCAGGTCTCAGACCCAGGTCCTGCCTCAAGCAGGGGCATTGGAGCCGGTCATCTGTCCAGCCCCACGGCACCATGACTTAAGTCCATGGCCCCAGCAAATAGTCAGCTGTTGCTGACAGGATTTAGTGGGTCATCTAGAATCAGGAAAAATTGATATTCCAAAATATCCAAAACATCCATGGCAAGGCAAGGAGGCTGGTACTCACAGCAGTGTGTTTAGCTGAACACACACAGATAAAGGTGTAGGCAAGAATTTAAGACATGCATGTATAGATTTCTTTTGCAAACATTATCTTTATTCAAAAAAAATTACAATGAAAATTAAATGTAGGCCTTAAATTACTGTGTCAAGTTCTAAACTGAAAAATCAATCACTGAAGTGTGAAGCAGAGATTTTAGTCCAGACTCAAGTGGTTCTCTTGCTACACCTTTTCTCTAGAATTGCTACCTGTGCCTCCGCAGCAACACATGGAGGCACATTGCCTTCTAATGGCCTTATTCATCCTTCCCCTCTACACCCAGCTGAGCATGCCAAGGTGACAATGTCCAGTATATCCAGTATACCACCAAAGGGGCTCCAAAGGCAGCGCAGGTGACAGCAAGACCAAGCCCACTCTTCTCAGCAGTGAGTTGACCAAAGAGGGCCAAGAGAAACGGAGGTGCTGAAACACACACACCCTCCAGCAGTGTATGGTCCTCTCTGCACTAAGACATAAAAAGGTATGTTATCATCAGGCCAGCACTAACGCTTTTCAGGCGGCATGCTAAGAACTGGCTGCTTAATCTGGTCTAGTTTGTTTTAGCAAAGTTAGCCAACAGGTGCTACCAGCACGCTGTAAGACCTAGTCTAGACAGAATTGAAGATAAAAGGGTCTTTAGTTACTGCTAGGAGGAAGTGAATCTGGTATTTCAAGTAAAAAAGGGGGGGTTCTGTGTGGAAACAGGCAAGTAAAGACTTCAGGAATCCAGGCTATTGTTTCTTATCGCCTCTCTCCCAGTGTCACCAGCACATCATTCCAGTCTAGACTCCCGCTGGCTTTTACTGGCATGCATTCCTGGTGATGTGTTGTCCTACTGTGAGCTGCACAAGCCTGTAACACCCCGCAGCAGAGAGAACCCTGGGGATTTGCAACTGCCACGTGTCTTGGGCCGTATCTGTGTCATTCCCCATCTCCGAAACACCTCCATGATAGCTGTTCTGGTTTCCTCAACACTCGCATCCTGGGTGGACCAAGGATAAAGAGCTGCCTGTGGAGACAGATCACAAGACGCTGGAAGTGATTCAGGAAGCACTACAAAATATCAGATGCAATTCCCTCACAAGAGGCTCTGCCACAAAAACACTCCAGCAATAGCAGCGCGTTCCCAGCGTTACTCATGCTTCCTGCCATCCCTGCTACAAGAGGGTTTGTTATTACTTAAACCTCTGCGTCTGCTGCTCTGTGAAATGTTATGTGCCTTCCTCCCAGTACACCACGAGATGCCGGGGCAGCAAAGCAAACCCAGACAGGCAAGGTGTAAAGGAGGAGCAACAGATACACAGTGCGGAACAGCCAGTATTAAGGAACACAACTAAACCCAAGCAAGAGATAAAGGCACCGACTCAAATAAATAATTTAACAATTTGAAATACCAGAAGCTCCTAAAGCACAGTCTCCACTCAAGTAGATGGCTTGGCAATCAAATACAGCCCCACACACCTCCCTGTCTCCAAAGCCAGCCCCCTCGCTCAGGCTGAGGGCTGTATGAATAAGTAGTATGGACCACAAAGCCCTGTGCAATAGATGGGGGACTGCAACCTCTTGGCAAGCCAGACTGGCATCTCCTGAGCAGCTCTAATAACATTTGGTGGGCAACAAGACAAAGCAAGGAAGCATCTCATTTTTAAGGATCATCTGCCCTGAACCTTATGAGGAGAGACTGAGAGAGCTGGGACTCTTTAGTCTGGAGAAGAGAAGGCTGAGGGGAGACCTTATCAACGCCTACAAGTATCTCAAGGGAGGGTTGAAGGAGGAGGGAGCCAGACTCTTTTCAGTGGTTCCCACTGAGAGGACGAGGGGCAATGGGCACAAGTTGGAACATAAGAGGTTCCACTCAAATACGAGGAGAAACTTCTTCACGGTGAGGGTGACGGAACCCTGGAACAGGCTGCCCAGGGAGGGTGTGTAGTCCCCTTCTTTGGAGATTTTCAAGACCCACCTGGATGCAGTCCTGAGTGACATGCTCTAGCTCTAGGCAATCCTGCTTCAGCAGGGGAGTTGGACTAGATGATCTCTATGGTCCCTTCCAACTCTAGAAATTCAGTGAAATTCAGTGAAAACCTCTTTGCATTTATTTTGAGACTCCACGTCCAGCTCACCAGCTGCCACCCAGGGCAGTGGGTCTCCTGCCCTTGCTGTGGGGCACTG